CTGGATTGATGTATATGTTTAGATATTTATACAAGAGTTAAAATTTACAGAAAATCGATTTATAACTTTTTAGTTACGCCAGGAATAAACAGAAAAAGGTGAGGCCAGTATAAACAAAATATGAAGTATTTGAATATTAGATAGAAGAGAAGATTGTGAAATTCTTCTTGTCGTCCTTTTAATAGGTTGAAACAAATAACGAGATAATAAATAACTATAATTTCTAGAGTCCTCCCATGAAACATCAATGATGTCCAATAATAGAAGATCTATCATGTGTATGACATGTTCTACGGAGGTCCGAAGGTGAGGTTATAATATATAAGTTAACTAATAATATATAATAAAACGGCCGTGTTTAAAACCAGTATAGTATGTGCACTGAAACTACTAATATAAAAATAATCAGTACAACACTAATTTTAATAAAATACTTAAACGATAGTATCCTTATTTATACCTAGAAAAATTAATTCAGTAATGTGATGAAGGTAGCAATGGAATATGAACTTGCACTGAAACTACTAATATAAAAATAATGAGTACAACACTAATTTTAATAAAATTCTTAAACGATAGTCTCCTTATTTATACCTAGAAAAATTAATTCAGTAATGTGATGAAGGTAACAATGAAATATGAACTTTCCAAATGCCAAATTAGGTTGCGCCATGCACATTTAATAAACTCCGCGTATGAGCTTTGTTATGATTCATTAACTGGACTGGGTGAGTGAGTTGATGTGAATTTAGTTATTACATTTAAATGTGTTTACAAACTCGAATCCATACATATCTACATAGGTAATTGAGTTGATTTACATTGTGTAGCACAACTATGAGTCAACAACTATGAGTCTTGGCTCAATCCCAGTCATATCCAAAAGAAATTGGGAGCGTTTAATGGTTTGTATCTTGTAGGTGTTAGAATTTCCCTTTTGAAAAATCCCTCTGTTGTGGATAAAATAATACTGTTACCTTCTGTAAAGTCCAGACTTAAAATAAACATCATGTGTTTAAGATATTCCTACAGCAAAGAAAAATCATAATTTCTAAACAATAAAATCAGGGGATTTCATTAATTACAGTAATTTGTGTTAGTTACGGGTTTTATTTGTTAAATTCACGTATTAAAACGTAATCAAGGATTTCTAAATAAATATTTAGAAATCCAAGAAAATCCTAGATAAAATTGACCACAGCCACCATATACCACGATCTAACCACTAAAAACATCTAAAACGATATGAGATTATCACAGTTATGTTAACGAATTTGCCATAACCAAGTTTTATCGCAATATGGTTGAAAGGTTTTAAGTTATTGAAGCGGCTGAAAAAACATTTTGGAGATTTGGCAAAACATTTCAATCGACGGTGTATGTTTTGATTGAGAAGACTGTAAACAGATTTGCCACACACAAGCCACCGCGGCTTTGGCAAATCCCTCCATAGCTTCTAATGGTCGTGATTTGTTCTGCCTTTTCATTTTGACATGAAATATAAACTGTGTGTGGTTGGGAGACACCAAATGACGAAAATTATTCTAAAGATTAGAACACCACATTTTAATACATCGGATGGTAAAATTAATTAATCTTGGTTTAGATTGGGATAGTTTTGATGGATTACTTCTATTTTAAGAGGAATTTAATGGGTATCGCTGCATAATATTCAGCCCTGTCTACTGCTGTAAGTCATCGACTGGTCCCAGTTAAAGTAGATACTTGAAAACCCACATTTAGATAAATATTTTCCTCTTCTGTATCTTAATCTGAAAATCTCTTATAGACAATAAATAGCCTAAAACATAAACTATGAATCATGACCGAGACCCGTATTGATAGTATTATATTTCTACAACGATGCGGACACAAAAAGAAGTCTGAAGCGTAGGGCGAAGAAGTCTGAAGGATGAGTGTTGAAAGTATGGGATGATAGCCTCTTACTGACTAACATCAGCTGGCTCTTTACCAAGGTCATTATTAAAAGCCCTATGATCAAAGGCAGCCGGGTACGGTTTTGAATCGTCAAAAGGCCAGTTACTTTCATAGCATCGAACCGGAAACCTTCTGATTAGCAGGCCCGAAGAAATCATCAATGAACACACCTAAGATGTTTACAATACCCTTCATAAAATAGCAGAATTGATCACTTACTAATTGGTCTTGTAAAAATGAGGCCGGCGCGGCGAGGGGCGGTGATATCAAAGAGGCAGTGCAGTAAGTTAAACTAGATGTATGAGATAGACCGACCTGTAAACATATGCAAGCGTGCAACTCGAGTCATAAATCTACCAGTAACTTGCCGTCTCGTCCTGCCCACTTTCCTCCGTCCAAATGGATTTTAACAGCAGATCCGTCCAAATCCATTTCCATAACGCATCTAATCCCAGTCTCTATGGCCCAGTCGAATCCATTTAAAATTGAGTTTTGAGTTTCTCCTAAAAATCATCTTGTCATGAGAAAGTTGATTGAAAGAAATTACAAGTTTGTGGAAACCACGACGTTTTCCTGAAGTGGTGTAAGATATTTGAGCTATATGAATATTTGAGTCAAACTCAATGAAATAGGATCGATAACTTTTGTGAAATTTATCGTTAACACTTGCTGTATATTACCCACTAATTTGTATATTATGTCATGGAAATGGATCAGTTTAATGAGATTGGGTGTCCTATAACTGTTACAGTACTTCAACATTTATCTCCCATTATTTCACCTAATCAGAACTCGTATGACGAAATAGAACGATTGGTTTGTAGGCTATCAACTCTATTTTGATATTATAAAATGAGGAATACTGAGGCTTTGAAAAACATTAAACACAAATCAAAAGAATTCATATTTATTCACGATAGGACACGAAGCCTTCTAGCAGTATGCAAACGATGATTTTATGGGTATCTTTCTATCAGTAAGACATACATTCTCTAACGATAAAAGATAGGTTAAAAAGCCAAGAATGTGATCGAGTGCTTTCTTAAACCTACTTTTTGCCGTCCACATTAGTGCGTGCTAGATTTAAACCGGTGTCTGAAACGTCAGTTAACAGATTGTGGATTCACGGTAACACACCATTAGCGTATCTCGCACAACAGGAGCATATCGTCCCTTAAAACGCTACGTTTAGCCAACACGAACACTTCCCGGCTATCTTTAGTATTTCCAATGAGGAAACGCCCAACAACTTAATTGATAAAAAACCAAACGTCACGACGCGTAAAAATGCTAATATATGGCGCCGGCGGATCGGACTAACGGTCCAGGCTTGAGTTGTTTTTGGATAATCCGTCGAAAGAACATCTTCCGTCTCTAATCTCGGCTGTCGGCGTCGACCGAGTTAAGGGTCGTAAACTTCGAGACGGACGACAAACCGTTTGAGTTTTGACACATATTTGCCCTATTGAATCTCAGTTCAACAATAGAGTGTGTTCCTAGTCTAGTGTTGGCAAGTTGGCGTCTCGGACTTTGGTACAGGAAGAACGGGGTTGATTCTCGACACATACTCAAACTATGAATGGGTTTGGACCGCTTTCCTCTTCAAACTACTTGTGCATGATTTGACCATTCTACACGTAAACGCCGAGAAAAATATAGTTCAAGAGGATTAGGTTTACTAGTGAAAAGCAATAAAAATAAAATGTAATAAATTTGCTTTGATAAATACTACTTAAACTTTCACCAGAACAGATTTTAACATAAGTGGGCCAGAGTACTATTAAATTTCAGTGATCATATCAATAGATCACGATAATTTAGTTGACTCGGCAATACAAATGTTTAACGCAACAAACTTGCTCGACGCAAAGACCTGTGTAAATAGCGGTTAAACTTTCATGTGATTTTAAAATACAAGTGGGTCATGACTGTCTTAACCCAAAATATCTGCAATATTGTCTGACTCAGGGTTATTACGACCACGTGGCTCCTCCTGTCGCCCGCAATTTTAAACTTGTTTTTGTTTGAACGTCTTCCCCGAGCCAAATCTCTTACTTAGTTGCCTGGTAGTTGTTTAATGTTGACAGCTACTTTCTCAGTACAACGTTACTGTCTTGGGTCTGGTTGTTTGCAGCTGATATTAATTTTATTTCCTTGTGAAAGCAAAGAAGAGTATTTTAAGAATTTTGTGTGGATGTTTAAAGAACTTTTTAAGCTTCACTATACATCAATTTGTCTGTATACTTTATACAATAAGGATTTCGCCACAATAAAATTCCTTATCCAGCCGCCCTACGTAGTCAATTTTTACGGCTAATGTGTCATTTTAAAGCTTAGATATAGCGAGGGATGAATAGTAAAAGGTAATTTATTTTTGGACTTCACCACATTAGTGTTTGATTTATTTATACAATTCACTTTAAAAGATTCATCAATGCTGACCAACTTTTTTGACAGTATTTATTACAGTAATAAGCTCAAAATTGTACTCACCGTTTAAGGTCATTAACCGATGATCATAAAAAATAGGAATATGACTCTATACAACATAGCTTAGAGTGTATAGATTTAGAAAAAATATTGGTATGAACAGATTTCCTTCGGGCATGCTCTCAAAGTATGCTTTCAAAGTTTACATAATTTAACTAATTGAATGATTAACAACTGTCACATAGTCAGTCACATAGTAGTGAAAACTAGTCCTTTGAAAATGTGTTTGTTGATGTTATACTGTATATAAATATTCAAAACTAGTTTTAAAATAAGTATAACAAATATTAAACAACAAAATTCTTTCTATATAAGTCGTACAAAACTATTCAAAATCAGATATCCAAAATTTGTTGTTCTAGTATGTAAGTCGATATATTTAATCTATATCTTAATATTAATATAAAGTTTATCAAAGTATTGAGGTTTAAATTTTTTTTCAAAACTACACCTGTAAAAAAGCCAAAAACGAATAATTAAATCCGTATTTCCAACTAAACATTTTAAAGCAAAAGTTTATGAAATGCTACCTAAAATTAGTAAAAAAATACATAGTTAAATAAGTAACTTACCCTTACAACTGAAGGGTGCTAGTGAGCTAAGGCGTGGCGGCCCTGTCCGTGTGTGGCATCATCTGGAATATAAAACATAAAAAAATTTCAAATCTAACTTAAAGTCCTATATGATTTTTAACATATCTCTATATGGCCTACCAACTTAATTAAATTGAAATACATCCATTAGTTTTTCCCTGTTGTAACTTGTTAAGTTTATTTTGGGTCTGTTTCATGTCTGGTAAAGCTTTAATTCGTTAATGTGCATTTGTCTCTTAAATTCAAAGTGTGCTGTTTACTCATTGGATGAAGCACTGAGGTTTTATAGATCGCTAGCTAGCATATCGTTCTATTTTATCTTAATAATTTTGATGTAGGAAATATTTCATAGTACACAAAAATACATTGACACAAACATACAAAGTAGAGAAACATACCTTGACACAAATATATCAACGTACACAAATATACCATGCCATTGTATTCACCTCATCTATAAGCATCGCACATCTATTAGGATGATAAGATGTTGCTAATACTCGTATAAGAATGTATGCGCAACCAATGTCAATAGTTCTGATGATCTACACAATATAATAATCAGATACGAACAGTAACAGTTTTTGAAAAATTCTAACATTCTCGAAACTTCATATAATTGGCGATATAACTACAATTAATGACAATGCAATCTTAAATATTTTCTAATTTTTTTTACTCACTCTTAATTTATCTTATACTACCGAAACTATGGATGGTTTAACATACATAAAAGAAGCTAAGATTAAAAAAGTAATCATTTCTGTGTACCAAAGTAGGGAAATTATTGTATCTGAAAGAAAACTGTAATTTACATACAGTAACTTAGCACTCTGTCGGTGACTAGTTCAACTACTTTCGTTTTTATTCTAAAACAATTTGCATCTGTATGGGAATGGAATGAAAAGTTCTATTCATAGCCTAGCTACAACCCAACTTTTCAAAGAGATATAAAACAATTGTGTACCTAGAAGCTAGCAATCTTTCCTCAAACGCAAATCAATTATAAAAGGTATAACATTACCTGAGTACTGCCAGAGTGATCCTGTATGATCCTTATGGATTACGCGTTTCGTGGATTTAAGTCCTCATCTGCAAAGCTTGTTACAAAAACATTGTTTCTTATTTAAACTTTAAACGACTTTTAAAAAGTGACAGAGTTAACAATGTTCTTGTTCAAGATTTTAAGACAAGGACTTAAGTCCAGGAAACACGTAGTCCATAAGCATCATACAGAATCACTCTGACACTACTCAGGAAATGTTATACCTTTTATAGTTTGTTCAGCGATTTGGAGACAAAACAACTTAAATATGGAACAAATTAATCATTTACAAAGTGCAACAGAACGTAAAGGAACGTAAACAACAATTTTGGAACAAACTCAAATCTCAAGTCTAGATTGTTACTTGTAGCAGGGCCAAACAGAAATTAACGAGTAAGCATAAACATGGCTGTTTACAATCTGATGGCAGAAGTCACAACAGGGATTATGAAACTGGCGAGGAAACCCGTCGTGGAGCATCTGCCAGGAACATACGTAAAGGCTATATAGTGGCGATCACGTGATAGCCAGACTTGTCTTTGTGCAAGTATTCTTATTAAATTGGTCATCAATGTCCAGAAGAAAAGTGATGAATGTAAAATGAAAAGTGACAATATAGATTTTGGACAAGAGGTCTATGTAAGACATAATAATACAAATTAAATTACTCGGTAGGTGAACGCATGTATCACGTAAAATAAGTGAATTACAAGCTACAAAAACAGATGGGAAATATAAAGTGAAAAGCTATCCAAATAAAACCCAAACTGCTTAAGCCGGCACCAATGAAATTCACGAGTAACGAAAACACGTGTTGAAATTTGGCGTGCGAATTGTTCTAATTAGTCCAGGCAAATTAGATCAAAAATAGGGTGTGCTCCCCAAAAAATCGTCTAAAGCTGGAAAGTGTTTTAATACCTTTTGGGGGTCCCAAATAAGACTCCTGTGAGTTTGCGACGGATTCTGACGTCTGCTTAAGTTTTGGGAGTCAAAAAACTATGAAAATTTTGCACTTTTTTCAGTTTTTCGCTTATAACTCCTAAATAACGAATCCTAAAGAAAATGTTGTTCAAAGGTGACTTTTAGTGCATTAAATTCCGCGTCGATTGATGTTAAATATGTCAAAATCGGCCGATCCGTCTAGCCGCTGTAGCTTTTCAAAGTTGGGATATTTGCATCAACATGGCCAAAAGGTTGATTATTAGACCAGTTTTCGGCTTACAACTCCTAAAATGACGCATGCTATACGAAAATGCACCTGTAGTTAGTTTGTAAAACACAAAATTATGCGTATTTTTTTTTTATAATCAATAACGGCAATTGATTGTTTCCTACTTTGTATGGTCGCCATTTCATTGAAAATAGTATTGAAGTTAAAGTTGGGAAATTTTACTCAAATTGGTAACAACATAGATCCTGTCCTTAAATGGATTATGAATTATTAGATAGTGGTTTATTCCATTTTGGCCATCCAGAAGTTTATCTAATAAGGTGTGATGAGAGTAAGACCCCCTATGTAATTTTAAGTCTAATATTGTTGTCTGAGGTTCCGAAAATTCTAGGATTCATCCCAACCACCCATTATATAGATCTATCCCTGTATTCATCTCTCAGTTTTTGGCTTACATCTTATAACGCATGCTATCGAAAAAATGTTCCTATAGTTAGTTTGAAGAGCATAAACGTCTGCGTAGAATGTTTTCCAATTCATTAAGATCGGCTTCACCATTTAACCGCTATTGATTGTTAACACTAGATCAGATGCTTGTCAAGTTTCCGAAGTTTAAAATCTTGCCATTGAAATCTGGCAAACAACCAGCCTAATTACCAAAAACATAGGGGCTATGGCATTGAATCTATCTACTAGTGTGACGTCATATGGATCCTGCAGCATGGCCTATGAACAAGTAAGTGCTCATGAGAGCAACGTCTTACTGTGGAGAGCTTTTCCGAGATAGGGGAATCAATGATGGGAATCTAGCCCGATGGTTCGCTGGCAGGCCCATCGCAGTGAATGCTACCCATCAAATTAAGGGATATTGTGGGATCACCTCTTCAACATATTATCAGCAAGTTGACAATATAAACTCCACGGATACGGTGGGATCAAAAAGAAATTCATCAAATGGTTCCAGAGTCACAACCCATTTTCTGAAAATAGTTCGCTCATGTCAGCTCAGCAGTTATCCCATATGATAGCATCAACGCGAGATATGTATAAAGCATAATGAAAAGCCACAGCTTGCAAGAAAATCGTAAATAGGCAAGCATATAATGACCATAAACTGTGCAGAATAAAAGGATGTGGTGACCTTAATTGCGAGCTGTGATGGCAACATCAAAGATCAAAGAAGAATCTGCCCCCCTCAGTCAGCACGTGATATTCTACATTAAATCCAAGCCTCAATTTGAATCATACTTTGGATTAAAAATAGGTCCGTACCCACTGGCGCAGTTTGATGAAGAAAGCGTGATGTAGAAGAGTCGAAAATCTAACTAATCATGTAGCCTAAAACTACTCATGCTGTTTACTCCAATCAATGTAGATCTCACTGTGTTCTGAAGGGTTACAACAATTGGTGAAGTTGCAGAAGCAGGTTGGCCCCATACATGGTTGGGAGCAGAAAATATTCAAATCAAGTGAGGGTTGGTCTCTTCTAGAAGACACTTTTAACTAATTTTGACTTTGATTCTAACAAAAGGGGCTGCTCATCCACCAATCCTTTAGAGCTCAATTAAAAGTGTACTTAATTCAGAGAGATAGGTATGGAAAATTAACGCCAATGGGTTAACTCCATAGAACTATAAACATAACTCCCATCACTACGGTTACTCCACCGGTTCGACAAGAACTTCTCAACTCCGTCTACCTATCTCGACTATCGTGTACAAGTTAAAAAAGGTTTACATTATCTTGCTCCTTTTGAAATGCAGGGATATAATGCACTACTGTCTGAAAGACTTGCATGGGGCACAATTATCTCAATTCGATATCTGACGAAAAAGATGGTACCGAATGTCACCATTTGTGGCAAGACCGATAAGAGCAAAGAATGAATCCTTATTCTTAAGATTCCAATGATGATAAGTAGAAAAGTTACATGGTAAAATCTACGTGATCTCCCAATAGTTTTTTTTTTTAAATAGGCTAAATAAATAGTAAAACTATGCACATCTGTCCCATTATCATCTTTCGTTTATTAAGCTAAAAATAACATTTTTGCTATATTTAATAACATCTTTCTCGTTGTAATATCTTATTTTAGAATCGCTTAACACCATTTTGGAGTGTCCAGAGATGGTATCGTATAAATGGGAGCTTAGGACGAATCCTAGAATTTTTGTAACCCCAGATAACAATATTAGATTTAAAATTACATAGGGGGTCTTGCTACCCTTCCCTTCACACATTCTTGGATAAACCTCTGATTGATAACCATGGAATAAACCACTATCTAGTAATTCATAATCATAATTCAACGCCAAATTTTGTGTTTTCCAAACTAACGACAGGTGCATTTTTTGTATAGCATGCGTCGTTTAGGAGTTGTAAGCCGAAAACTGGTCAAATAATCAACCTTTTGGCCATGTTGATGCAAATATCCCAACTTAGAAAAACTACAGCGGGTAAACGGCTCGGCCGATTTTGACGTATTTAACATCAATCGACGCGGAATTTAGTGCACTAAAAGTCACCTTTGAACAACATTTTCTTTAGGATTCGTTATTTAGGAGTTATAAGTGAAAAACTGAAAAAAGTGCAAAATTTTCATAGTTTTTCGACTCCCAAAACTTAAGCAGACGTCAGAATCCGTCGCAAACTCACAGGAGTCTTATTTGGGACCCCCAAAAGGTATTAAAACACTTTCCAGCTTTAGACGATTTTTTGGGGAGCATATGTCTAATTTGCCTGGGCTAAATAGATTTAACCCCCCACGAATGTGCAACGTAATTTAAGGTGAAAGTAGGGCTCAATAGCAAGAGATTTAAAAATAA